TTTATTTAAAAATAACATGTTTAACTTCTGGTATTCATAAAAGAATTGACAAGCTTATTAAAATCTAAATTTGCTTCAAAAACATTGATTTATATCAAATTCCATTGATAAATTTCGAGGCCAACCAAAGTCCTAAAGAAGTATAACATAATAAATTCCATTCTGACATAGAAAAAACATAAAACTATACTTAGTTTCAAAAACTTAATTTTGGTTTTGCTGTCAGTCATTTTTCCTACACTTGCTTATTATTCAAAGTGGCTGGAGCCTCAGCAAACATTTAGGTTCCTAGCTCATCTCCAGAGTCTGAAGGAGGGTCCAGAAATCTGTATTTCTTAACAACTCCCACATGAGTGTTATGATCACACAATTTTGTTAACCAGTGAATTAGAAAGTTCGCCAAGGTAGTACAGGGTAGTTCTTGATGAATATGTGTCATTCATCTTTAAGGACCAACAAAATCTTATTGGAAAGGGGATTTTGGATTTTCTGTTATAGAAAATCCAGAGTAAATTTGTAATTTTTTTGACTTATGCTTCTAAAAATCCTGGATAATTTTTCAGAGAAAGTGAGAAAATAGAATTTTACCAGCTTCATTTTTTCCCCCAAAGAAGAACGATCCCATGGTATAAATTCAGGTTTAAACACCATGACATTATGACTAATATATTGGACAAAATATCCATTTTAATTTCTAAATTTTCCATATAAGTACTCTTCCTGAAATTTATTATTGTTTAACTTTAGCTTTATAAGCTTAAAAATTAAATGCTGAAAGTGTCTGTCAAATTTTGCAATTTTCCTGCTAACTGCAGTAAAAAACAGCTCCAAAGGTATAAGACAAATGTTACTTTCATGAGGGCAAAGGAATATTTGCCTTTTAAATAAAAATGTTTTTGAATTCATATTGTAGAGAAATATAAAACTTAGTTAAATCTTAGAAAATATTATAGATTAAAAAGAATAAAATAAGAATGTAGGGACTGTAATAGGACAGTATTATCACATGTTCGATTTTGAAAGATTTAATGTGGAATTTTGTCAAAAAATAGAATATTAAAGTAAATTGCAACTCTTATAAAAGCTCTGAGAGGCTAGTAAAAAGCTGATATCTTAATGAAGAGAACAAGGCATCTATTTTTCTTCAATTGACTTTTAGTGTGTAAGTACACATACACACACATATATATATACATATGCATTCATATATATTTAGACACTCCTATGTACATATATAATTTTTCCTTAGAATTGCTTTCCCGAGGCTTAGTCAGTTATGACTAATGAAAAGCATTCATACATTTTTAGAATTTCACTTACACCACTTATAATAAACCTACAATACTGTTGTTTTCATATTGTTTTGGTGAAGTAGTCTTGTTTCTGGATCTACATCAGATTCTACACCCACAGTCACAAAATCTATTAGAGCAAGCAGTCAATAAAAACAGAAAGTCCCAAAAAAGGAATCAGAAAACTTTGTAAATATTTCTTTTTGAAAGGTTCATATATAAAACATTTCACAGGCCCATGTTTTGCCCTGAAACATTCAATTTATTTATTGTATTTATTTGGATGAAAGCTTGTAGTTAAATTTTCACTTGTAAATACTGAAGACATTTTTCCTTTATGGAAAGTAACCATGGAAAACAAGACAAATAATATTAAGAATTAATAGGAAATGGCTTGTTCAACTTTAGAAAAATTAACTGCTAAGTTGTTCAGAGCTTCTTTAAAGAAGAGGAGCACATCTATAAAGGATACATGAAATTATAAGTAAAATACCTAGTAATGATAGTAATGTTAACAACAAAGCACACTAATTATTTGGATATATAAAAAACATTTTATAAAAAATATATAAATATGTATATAAATGCCTATATTCCCAAGTGTTCGAGGAACTTATGTAATACATTTTCTCATTTATTTTATAAAATTCTCTTCTCCGTAGGATTGGAGATGTTTGTACTTTGCAGTTTCTTCCTATATATAAATATTTATTTATTATAATAGTAATTGATGTATTCTTATGTACAGTTTTTTTGGTGTTAGTTGTTTCAGTAGTACATAGTAAACTTACCTAAGGCTTTTCTTCATTTTACTGAATTAGTTATACTATTATAAACAAACTGGCTAAATTTAATTTTAAAACTACCACATACATTGGCGTAGTTTAGCCAAACTGTTATGTTTATAATATTAAAATGGTTTAATTTTTCAAAAATTTTAACATTGAATAGATGACACTGTGACTTATTGTCTCACATGAGAATTCTGGCTTATATCCTTTACATTGAATGTCAATTTATACTCATAATTTTCTAACTTGCCTAGAGCTCATTTCTTTCTTTACAATAAGACATTCTGAGAATGTCAAAATCATATGTTATAATAAATGTGGCTCCTAAGTATGTGGATTTATAGCTATAATTTATTTTGCTTGTGTTTATGGTGATAAGATTCTAGTCTCTACTTTAATTTGAAGATGGATTTGTTAAGTTTAAAATGTATCCTACAAATTCTAAAGCAATCATTGAAATAACCAAAAAAAGTAACAGCAAATAAGTCAACAAAAAAAAACCAAAATGAAATAATTAAAAGTTCAATTAATCCGAAGAAGGCAGAAAAATGGAAAAAATGGAAGAAAAGATATGACAGATAGAAAATAAAGAGCAAGATGATAGATTTAACCCAATTATATCAATACTTATATCAAATATAAATACTCCAGTTAAAAAGCAGAGCTAGTTGAATTGGAAAATGGAGACCCAACTATATGCTGCACAGAAAAAATGTATTTCAAATATAAAGTAAATTAGGTTAAAGGAAAAGGATGAAAAAAGCATATACTGACATAGTACTAATCAAAAAGAAAGCTGGAGAATGTCTATGAATACTGCAAAGTAGATTCCAGAGCAAAAAATATTACCGGGGATAAGAAAGGTAATTTTCTAATGATAAAGGAATTATTTGATCAAAAGGGTGTCACAATCCTAATTGTGCATGCATCTTTTAACACAACTTCAAAATATATCAAGCAAACACTAATATAACTACAAGGAGAAATTGAAAAATTCTCAATTATAGTTAGCGATTTCCACATTGCTCCCTCTGTTAATTAATAGTAAAATAGATAGAAAACCAGTAAAAAAATATAGAAAACTTGAACAACACTATCAAGTAGCTTAGCTAACTTGACACAAAACTTTTACATATATTTCAGACAAAGATAATGAAATAAAATGCATTGACATGTAAATTTTCCATCCTATTAATTAAGGGGAAATTTTCAAATTATTCACAGGTAATGATTAAACCACACGTTTAATGTAAATGGAGACACAGAAGTATTTCACCAGTACAGTGATTTAACCATGTTTTTCTTACTCTTCCCAAAAACAATCCATAAAATAATTTTATTACTCTAGATGTGCTTTTTAGTGAATATTACACATGGATAATAGATGAAAATACTTATCTATTTTAAAATTAATGTCAAAGGATGTATAATTTATGAAGTTTAAAAATCTTCATGCTACAGAATATATTTACATTCTCTATGCAACAGACTTCCTACTGTAAAAAGTGGAAGACAGAATCTGAAATAGTTATTTGCAATAAATGATGGCAGATTTTTTGTCTAGAGCTCAAAAATAAATTTAAAGACAGTCTTAGAAAATACCCAATTTTTATTCAATCTAAGATACCATTGATTATAAAACACAGCATTATTTTATGCTCTTCTAGAAATTAAGAAGTGCTCCCAATTAAATTGTAACATTGTAAGATACACTAATTTCTGAGATGGTAACAGTAAAATGTGTTATGAGATGTTAAATGAATGCATGGAGATACTAAATGAGTGTGTTCTAAGATGTTAATAGGTAAATATGTGTGGCTTTTATAATCTAAACCTAAAAACCTGTCTCCTCTAAAACTAATTTTGTGTGAACTGAATTCAGACTTTGTTGACTCAATGAAATAGCCATTGCAGGCTTAGAATTTAATTCTCTGTCTTGAATACTGGAAGAAAAAAGATATTCCCAACTGTTTATTGGTTAATAATACAATAACACTAAGGGAATAAAAGGACTATATAAAATGGAAAAAATCATTTACTCGAAAATACTTAATGTGTATGAAAGTGTGTTATATTTTAGTGTGTTATATTTTCACCCAGATCCTTGAAATAAGAGATTTTGTTTCTGCTGATGTCTTCAGAAAGCTAGAGTTCTTTGCAAAAAGACTCTAAGCAATGAATTAATTTCAATTTCATTAGTCCAGGTGAGGCCATATTTTAACATTTGATCCAATTAATTATTGATAATACTCCTGAGCACTTCCTTTCTCCAGGGGCTCACAGAAATTCAGACAAGTAGAAACTAAGAAAAGATGTTCGAAATAATAAGAACTTTTAGAAAACCTATTAGAAATTGTATGGTGCATTAATATGAATCTATTATTGTAATATTAAAATTGATTATTTGGTTCAAAAATTAAACAAATCTATGAATGAAAACACAATCAAGGAAACATCTGAGCAGAGAAACATCTTATATTTTAATTTTACCAAATTAGTATAGTAGTTAAAAATTGTCTATTTCTAAAAATTCCTAATTGTCAAAACAATCAAGAAACTACAAAAAGTTAAAAAAATTTTAAGTTAACTTTGAATATTTTTCTCTAAAGAACATTTTTTCTAATACCAGTAATGCATTTTAATAATAAAAATAATACTGTCGTGTGTAAACAATAACTATAAAGCAATTTGCTTTTCCAGAGGTTGTATCATTACATTATTTGACTATAAATTATTTTACAGCACTATTCTTTAAAGCTTTTTATTTAACGTACATTTTTATTTAACGTACATTTTTATTTAATGTACATTTTTAAATATTATTGTCAGTATAGATGTATCTGCAGTTTATTCAATCAAACTTGGATACAATTTGATCCTCCACCTCTCCATGGTATAAACCATCTGGAGCACTTACCTTATCTTTTCTTTGTTTTTCATCCTGGTATACAGTCCAGTGTTCTCCATCATTGCTGTAAGCTAGTTTGTAGGAGCCTACAAACTGTACATGACCAAAATCTTTAGCTCCTTGTGTAATGATGCCAGTCACTTTGGTAGGGACCAGAAGATCTACCTAAAGAAAGGAAAAGGCATAATTTAAATGCCACAATAGTGTCCATTATAAATTTGCAAGTCTCTTAACTCAGGTGATTAAGAAATATATATGCTAAAGCCCCAAATCCATTGATTATTTATACTTTGAAACTGATGACTGAGTCTATTAGTGGCTGGTAATTTTGATTTTGTCATTGTGTAAATTTAGTTTAAAACTTGAACAATCATTTTGACCATTTTAAAATAAAACGATGGTCATTTCAATCTACGAGTCAATTTTATATTAAACAGATTCATCTAGCTGTGCAGTTTTTTGTTACTGAGATAGTACAGAACTGGCAAGGCAGACCTTCTTGAGACTGATTGTTATCTCCCATAACTTGTATCATAATTCAATTTGCTGACATTACTGGTCAATTCAATAATAATAAAGATAAAGTTGTAGCTGTGTATACATCAGGAACAAAAATGGTATTAGATGTTTCATAATTAAACATTAAATAAAAAAGTCAACTCAGTTTCCATGACTTTTAAATCCGTTCAGTAATATATAATGGAGTAATAGTAATCATTATCTAGTGAAAATCCTCTTTCAGAAAACTACAATCCTAAAAAATATTGAGGAGAAAGTCAAGTATTCTTCAAAAATGAAGGATTAATATGTGCATCCATGACTTGTGGGATCTGTGCTCATAATGTATTTGTTCCTGCAAAATAGATACTTAAAGGACATAAGACCCATGGTGATTAATAAGCATTAAAAGCCTCAAAATGTAATTGAAAAACAAAATGTAAGAATGTCTTTTATCAAAGAATACATAACATTGAATATTTTAGTATTCTCCCTCTTTGTTCTCTAATTCATGCATATTTTCTTACGTCTTATCATGCTAATTAAAAAATATATAAAACTTTGTTTTCCATGTGAACAATTCTTTTAAGACCTTTACTTTTTGTTTCACTAAGGTTCTTTGATCTATGGCTTCCTTTCTCCTCTTACAATAGCCACCTACTTCCCTTTACTTCCTATGACTAAGTGTTCTGCTACATCCTTGATTTTATCATCTTTAACTGTCATGATCCCATGTGTGACCTCAGTGGTTTTCAACCACTATGTCCTTTTGTTTCTATTTTGGGTTCTCCATCCTGTGTAATGTAACAGCCACAAATAGACAGGCAGGTCAGATACAGGCCATGAATGCGAAGAGAGAGCTCGGAGAATGCATTGAATAGAGCGTATTTAGTGGCATAGATGCTCATCAATAAAAATATAAAAATATTTCCCAATATTTCATAACCTAGAAATATTTCTTTAAAAAATCACATGGGCTTTTTGCTCACTTTTTGAAACATGCTTTAATTAAAGACATTAGGCTCAAATTGTACAATGGATTAAGACAGAAAACCACCTTAATTCTTTATTAAAACATTTTTTTAAAGTTTAACAAAAACTATAAAATACTGTACTTTTGTTTATGCTAATTTCCAACGTGAATTATATCATCTGAAATATCTATGTGTTCAGCAGCAATGCAGGATGGCAAAATTATGACATCCTGAGAAGGAAACTATTGCTGCTTCATACTATGCTGAGTGCTTTCTTGAATGTCCTTATTGAATCCTCTCATCAATCCTGTACAATAAGGTATTCTCTTCACTTTAGAGATGAGGGAATAGATGCCTAACATAACTTGATGTGTTATCCCAACAGTGAGTAAAGGAAGGATCCCAGATTCAAATCCATGTCTTTCTGATTGAAAGTTCCAACATACATATAAATTCTCAGTCAGTGACTTTTTTCCCATTCTCTGACTATTTTAGGAATTTCTGAAGAATCTCAAAGCTTTCTCAACGCACTCATCAAACCTACAGCACTCTAAGCCTGAGACAAAAACAATCTTGGGTTTACAATACAAGGAGAGCGGTCTTGCATTTTAACATGAATTTCTACTCTGTTCTTCAGCTGTCTAGGCTTAAAAATATGGATTGCTTTTGTTGTCCTAAATCAAAATCTAATTGCGCAGAGACATCTAAGCATAGCCGCTGGTCTTCAAAGTGCTCTGGATGTTGCTGACACTCAATAAATGGAAAAACTGTCTTACAGTACTCTGACTCACTGTTTGCCATCAAGGCAAACACACAGGAACTGTAAACACACGGGAACTCGAACTGTTGCCAAAAATATGAATACCTCCAGGGCTAGATTCTTCACTCTCTAAACTTCTATAAGTCCTTAGCTAACATGATGCAATAAGGGGGCTTATAGCATCTTTTTCTGCGATATTTCTTACAGTCAGCTGGGTTTCCTGCTGGGTGGAGATGTTTTCTCTTTAAGTTGTGTGTTTTGGCATTTTCTATCAGATATGTTTTTCTCCTGCTCTACTTGCTCCCATATTCCAGTTCTTTTTTTTTTTTTAATCTAGAAATGTTTTCTTTTCCCAGTTAAGTCAACTTCTTGACTTAAATAGTCAGCAATCTGTTTCAAGCTAGATTTTGTCCTAAAATTTGCTACATTAAACTTAGACTACTAGGGCTAAGCAAACCATTTTTTCAGTATAAAAATAATCAGCATCCCACTCTTAACATGAGGCTGTTGCAACAGGGCATGTACAGATCTCACTCTGAGATATGCTCACGGACATGTCACCCCTGTGTTCAGGATGCAGGATGATCCCAGAAAAGCCTGTTCCTCTGGACCTATGCTTACTCCTAGCCCAGAACACTCTGCACTCTTGTAGATTTTCTGAGTTAAAGTTGTACTATAAATTTAGAGACAAGAAACCTTCTGCTGTTTTACACCCTCACCTCCCAAGGTTTGGCTCAAGTAGAACAGATTATTTCGGAGCTGGCACATGGGTAGACTTTTGGCTTAGTGCACTGCACTTCATATCTGGATCTGTATTAAATGCGCCTTGCTTGTAACGGTCGCTTAATAAAAGTTTTCTAGATTGAACTGGAACTACTTTCTGTGTATGTTCTATGGACAAGAATCAACCATGGATAAAGATGCCACAGTATGTCATAGCAGAAATGCTAACTGCCTTTCTCTTGTTTTTCTACATAGGATAACTTTATTGATCAAGGAAACACAGTGCCACGGTTGTACCAAACAATTTTTACTGGGGATGGCAGCTGGTTAAAAATTCTCTCTGATCTTCAGGAGTGTGATTGTGAGAGGCAGCATATTCTAGTAGAACTAAATGGTCTGGGTTCCTGATCTGGCTCTGCCCTTACTAGCTATCTGCCCTTAGGGAAGCTATTTTACCTCTCTACAGCTCAACTTCTTCATCTGAAAAATGAGGATAATAGTCCTCATGAGATTTATGAAGACTAGATGAGTTATTATTTATTGTGTGTAAAGTAATATATAGACTATAGTCAGGGCTATGTAAGACTTTGAAAACAAACAATAAATAAATCTGGGGGACAGAATTTAATACTGGTCTCAGAGCACCTTATTAGAAGCATAAATATAGAAATAGGAAAATGGGGTACCCAGTTTGTCCTAAAAGCAACTTCTAGATTGTAGCATATTTTGGTCACCTCAGAATATATACAAAGATAGTCATTTCGTCTTTACTTAACGTAGAGAGAATTTAAAACAACTGAAACTCCCATCTGTGACTGAAATGGTTAACTAAAAAATATAATTATATGGACTTTTGTACGTCCTCATTTGAATATTAAGATTATATTACAATAGGGAAATAGTTCTAGAATAATATTAGAAGGAAATTTTAGATTCCACATTATAGTGATTCCTCCTCCCCTTTAATTACAAGAGTGAAAAATGAGGGATACATACAGAGAGACCTTAATGATATATAAGAAACAAGTATTGCAGGGGAGTTTTTAAGAATATGAATTTTTTTTTTTGCAAAACATCCTGTAATATCTTAGAGAAGTATAAATATTTTTGCAGTGTCTAACTTAGTAAAACAGTGTAGAATAACTAAGAGTATTTGCTTGAGAAAATTCAAGATAAACTACATTTCAGATATCTGTGTAACACCTGATAGATGGCTCTCTGGAAAAAGACAGGAAAGACTAGGAAAGTCAGTTGATTTTCATGGAGATATTCTTAAAGGGGTGAGGAAAATGAAAAGTGATATAGATAAATAAGTGTGCAAGGAAAATGAACAAAAAGACCAAAGACTCTTATCACAGAAATATGTCACTCAGCTACATCTAAAATGTTCTCGGTTTTGCTTTCATGTTGTATCGGTTTTTTTAGATTACGTATTTGACAAATTCATGAAGATTTGTAAAATTAACTCATTAAACAGAATAACTTTGAAGCTAATATAATAATCTAGTATTTAAAAATCAAATTATGGGCAAGATATTTAGACATTCTGATTTCAATAAAAAATTTTTACTTCAACATTACATAAAATGATTGTATATAATCCTAACTACATTTAAGGCACATAATTAATAGTATTTGGCATTTGAACAATATTGTTATTGGATGTTGGTTATACTTTTAGTCCACATTTGCAGTCCAACTAGTTAATGTCATCAACTTATTATGAAATATTATCCAGCCCCAATATCTAATACGTTCTTGTAGCTCTAAGATAATGGGTTTAGAATCTCTAAAATACTATGGTAGCCTGATAAATACTCATTCCAACACTCATAATTGCCTTTTTCTCTTTCCAAAAAAAGTTTTAATTTCCAATAATAAAAAAAAAACATTTAATATAGCAATTGCTTTTTCTCTATCGAATTGTAAAACTATGAACATAAATACAAAAAAAATACCATAAAATAACCTTTCAAAAGACAGAGGGAATTTACTGTTTTATTGGTGTTTTACAGTGTGCCTTTTATATGTAAAACCACATATAACATGTGCATCGTGGCATAAACAAGCTCTCCAAGCTCAGGTGATCACTTTGGATTGTGTTTTATAAGACATCTGGCATACTGTAGACATTCCAAATATTCAGGCATCATCTGCCCTCGATTCAAAATTGACGTAATTTCATCCTTAACAATTATTTGCAATTATAA